ACATAGCAACAACGGTGAGAGGTGGGGAGGGGGCGTAGTGATGCTGATGTAATGAGAAGCGGGGAGGGGGTGTAATAGAGTTTGCGATGTACCGATGATCGGGGCTGGGGTGGGGTAAAATTGGCCAAATCACCCTCCAGGAAGGCGTCCTGGATCCGCCTATGCTTGGAATGACTGCACTGCATATGAAGTATCGCCGGAACACCATGCTAACTGAATTTGCAGTTAGGTGAGGCGACTAACCAGTCGTATTTTTACAGGGATTTCGTCAAAACCGATGTTTTGCAATGGCTTAAATCGGTATCTAAAATCGATTTGAATTCTGATGTAGCAATCACAGGCAGTTGTTACAAAAATACAGATTTACTTCTACCGCACGATGATCAGTGTGAAGGACGGGCAATCGCTTTCGTACTGTATTTGTCTCCGAATTGGGAAGAAGCCGATGGTGGCCAGTTGGTTTTATACGAAACTGATGGTAAGTGAAGCTCGAATCGATTCTTAGTGGTTCCGTAAATGTGTTCGTCGAAAAAGAAAATATCTTGGAATTGATTCAACATAAAGGAACCTAGATTTGTTCCAGGCCCGTTTACCTTAGAGATCTTGCAATACACAGTAGTTCGTGTTTTAAATGAGTTGGAAATCGTAAAATTGGCGAATGACAAGCATAGATTTTGTATTTTTATGCGTTTTGTGCTGTGTAACAGCAGTATAAAACGCATATTGTCACGGGATTATCTGTGTGTATGTGTCCGCAACTTTCAATTCGGGAACCACAAGAGCCAGGAAGCTGAAAATTTAGGGGAATGTCCCCCAAGCACGTGTGACCTCGCAAATTTAAATTCAGCCTCCCCGTACCCATGGGTAACACTTACGGCCCCGTAAAATTTTTGGCGGGGAGAATTATTGTCTCGAGAACCACGGAAGCTAGGAGACTACGATTTTATCGGTATGTCCCCTGCCCACATACGATCCAAAAAATTTAAAATTAACCTTCCCATGCACGCTGGTAACATTTATAGCTCCGTGAAGCTTTTGCCGGGCAAATTATTATCTCAGGAACCGCGGAATCTAGAAAGCTGAAACTTTAATGACCCTCTGCTCACGTGCAACCCCTCAAATTTAAATTCAGAGCTGTGGAAATCATTAGCAGGAAATCGTCCAGCGGGCGGCGGAATTGCACAAAACGCATGATTGCACTGGCTCTCCTGGTGTGCGCCGCTATTTATTAGTTCTAGTGCAAGTGCTGTTATTAATTCAGCATTACCAGTTCTTTTCTCACATCATTATTCACACTTTCTGTATTTCTTTATTTCTTGTTTCCCTTGGCCTTCGTTACAGCAGTTTTGCTCGATTAATACAAATTGCAGATCAAAACAATCCCAAATCAATCGTCAAATCGATGAATCCGGTGGAAAACACCCTGCTTTTGTTCCCGGTTTCACCGCGTTCATGGCATATGGTCACTGAGGTATTTGTTAGTTTTTTTTAGAAAGCTGAATTTGGAATAATATTTTGCTTAGGAATACTAACTAGAAATGCTAAAACAGCATTGATTCGTAGTTTGATCTCCACTTTCTGTGCAGCTGAAAAATTTTTCATTTGCTTTGACCAATGCTGCATCGTAACTTATTGGTCAGCTTTCTCACAATACTGACTTTCGTTTCATCTTCTGAGGGATTTACTGCCTTAAAGGTTCTCCCCCTCTCCAAAAAAAAAAGAAAAAAAAAACAGCTGGCAAAGTTTTAGCAGTTTTGAGGACCCTTAGTTTGCGTTGACCGTATCTGCTACACGCCAGAATTCGCCATTTCCTTTCATTTGCTTTGACCAATGCTGCATCGTAACTTACTGGTCAGCTTTCTCACAATACTGACTTTCGTTTCATCTTCTGAGGGGTTTACTGCCTTAACAGCCCCCCCCCCCTCGCCCAAAAAAAAGGAAAAAAAAAAAGCAGTTGGCAAAATTTCAGCAGTTTTGAAAACCCTTAGTTTGCGTTAACATGCTGTCATGGCATCATGCCAGAATTCTCCATTTCCAGACCATGTTGAGGATAATTCACCATGTATTGTATGGACTGGAATACTTATGCTTTACACAGCTGCAGTGTTTAAAATTTTGTTTCTTTCATGCATCTGAAGTTTCCCCCGTTTTTCTTGATTCAGAGCCCAGCTGCAACCAATTAACTCCATGTAGCAATAGGCCTATGTACCAGTAGTATGTATCAATAGGCCTTCCATGCTACTGAAATATTTCTTTGTATTTGCTCGAAATCACTTCTGGAGTTTGCTAAAATCGCTCATTTAAGGTAACCTCGCAGAAGGAACGCATTTCGTTGCATGGTTGGTTCCACAGTGATGTTTGTGTGACAGCAGAACGAGCGAAATCAAAAAGCCCCGTTGTTGGACCAAAACCGCACTTGGATATTGCTGTAAGTTCAATTTTGCC